TCCTACACTGAAAGATGAAACAAGAAAGAAATTGTTTTTGTGTGTGGGTTTTTTTTTTTTTTTCTTAGGAAAAATATTTATGTTCAGCTTGTGTGAAGTGTTGTTCCAGAGAGTTTCTATATTAGTGATTATTTGATGAAATTATGAAAGCATTTGAAGTTAAATTAATTATTTCGTTGATGAATCTTTACATTTTAAAGATAAGTTCTCTGAAGCTCTTTGAAGCTTCTGGGTGCATCTCTGCTGGTCAGCTCCGGTAATTTCCAGTGTGACAATCCTTTCTCACTATCATCAACCGTTTCCTTCTCCTCTTTGCTTCGTCTTTCTTTCCATTTTCACTTATTCCCTTTTAACTTGTCCTCCACCCTCCACTGTCTTCCCCTTCCTCTTCCTCCTGCTCTATTTCCATCCTCTCTCTTTGGCCCCTCTGTTTTTGTTCTTTCTTTCCCTCTTTTGTGTAAATCTTTTCTCTGTTCTTTTACTTCTTTTTCGTTCTTTTCGTTTCTTTTCCATTTTCCTTATACAGGGGTCCCTTGGTTTTGTGGTTTTCTTCTTCAATTCCAGCAAAGGGGCCATGGGAATAAAGAAACGAAGAGGAATTGCTGCCTTTTAGTTGAGTGAAAGGATGTTTCTGGCACAATAGTGTGAGCGATTGGGTGGTTTTTTTTTTTTTTTTTTTTTTTTAATTGTTAAGTAAGACTCAAATCTCACACTTATTAAATTTAATATGAGAAATCTTTAACAAGCGAAAATGGAAGAACCACCACTAGTATGTTCTCAAATGATTGGGCTATTTTTCACAGTAAATTGAAAGGTGTTTAATATATTACTGAAACGTCTACCTAAGGAAGTGTTACGTATGAATGGTAATATCCCATTTCAGAGGTTGTTGTGCACACGTTCACCACCTTTCCTTTTATTGGTTAATGTTGTTGAGAATGATCTATTTTTATTCCTATATCTTCATGTGTACTTAAATATGTTTTATATATAGTTGTACATCTTTATCTATATGATAAAACACTCTCTAGAGAAATGCCATATTGCAGTTGTTAAATACAAATAAAAATACAAAATAAAAATAAAATTTACTTGAGTACTAAAAAATCTCTAAATTCTAAAGTCCACCATAAAGTTTTTTTGGACAAACTACTTTATTAACAGCTAGTAATTTATACAGCCAAAAACCCATTATACAATATGTTTTGAAAACTGTCAGAAAAGTACCTCTGAAATACATGTCTCTGCCCGATCCTAAAAAGCTTGGCTTCCTTATCTACAAAGAACAATTTCAGTGATTCTAACGGTTTAATGGCTAATGATTTGCATGCCTCGATCTCCAGCGTCTATCTTCCACTTGAGTCTCTTGACTGATTAATTAAACAGACGCTGGGTCGCTGATGGGTTTTTTACTGAAATCTGTTCGCGGTAAAGAGGCATGCCTCAACAGATGTATTTGCCTGAGGCATCGTAATGTCACCTAGAAGATCCATAGCATCGTCTCATTTCATTGATCTTCCGAACTCGCAACAGAAGAAAGTTTCTCTTCCAAGACATCAAGCAAATCTTGGTATTCCGCAAATGAAGGATGTGACTGATGAAGCAACATGAAAAAGAGGACAAGAAGATCAAATTTGGATAGGAATACTGCACATATCATCATTAGAGCCGCAAGATATACAAACCTGTAAGGTCATGCCATATGCCTTCCATAACCGCGCATCATGCCGGAAAAGATCAAAAAGAACCTGCATAAAACCAGCAATTGAAAACTTAACGTACGGGCATACACTAGTTGGAGAGTGGGAAGAACTACATGTTTCTTTTCTTTTCACCATTTTGTAGAAGCATAAATCTTCTCTAATATTTCAATAATTCTACAAGATACTTATGATGGTACAATCGATTTTGGCATACTTCAATTATTATTCACACAAAAGCTCAGATTTTTTAAACCAAAGACTGCAATTTGTCTAGAAGCAAAACTAGCATGAACTCAAGCCCATCATAACTGACATTTATGCAAAGTCTCACTTCCACTAAAATATGCTTGTTACCACTAGAATATGTTAAATGAAGCCAATTATACCTCAGAACGTCTCAAAAGAGTGGCCAGGACAACTATCCATTCCTTGAACTTGACAGAACACATATGAGCCAAGAGGAATTCTGCATCAAGCCGGCTCTGTAGTGTACCCATTTGAAGCTGGAACCATAAAACAAGTGGATTGAATCAGGAAAAGAGTTCCAAGGTAAAGTGCTAATCCAATAACTGAGATGATTGATGCTTTCAAATGGATATTCAAGGCTTTTGCATCTTTGCTTTTCATTATTGTTCCCTTTTTTTTTTTTAGGTCCCAGCACTAAAGCATGTTTTAAGTAGTATTATAGTAACATTTAACATTATTTTTCAGAAGAACTTTAGAACATTTCCAAAAGATCAGTACCTTTTGCCCTATCAGTTCAAGCCCTGATGCAAAATTCTCCAGCCGAGCACTACCATATCTTTCTCGTTGAAGATACTCCTGCAACAAATTTTTAGTGAACAGGTAGAAAACAAATGACACCACAAACAATCTCTATAACCTTTCTTACCACCAAATCAAACTGAGTGCCCTTGACAAATGCAACAAGCTTGGAAAGTTCTTTCCCTGACATCAAATAGCTGGCATGATTTTCTAATATGTTCTTGACAGAAGCAATGTGGGCACTCTGCTCCTTCAGTGAAGTGCTGCTCCAAATAAAAAGTTTGCTGTGAGTATCGTGGTGGATTGATAAAATCATAAGGGTCCAACACAGCAACAGTGTACTGGAGTCTGTTTCAAACCTTTTATCCAGGGATGGCCTCTTGTAAGTAGAACCAAAAAGAAGATAGCCCAGAAATCTAGGAGATTGTGGTTTGTCTGAATCAGTAGACGCTTGTTCATATTCTCTTCCAGATCTCATCAAGAACCTCACCTAGAGAACAAAATGCAAAAGAGAAATCACTAAAAAATGCAAAATTTTGGGATCACTACAATAGTAACAATTAATGCCAAAAAGAATACCAGCTCTCCAGCAAGTTCATATAAGGATTCATCAAGTGTTGCCTGCAAAGAATTGAGTCTTCTAGAGATCACTTTCAAAGAGAAAGAAACAAAAGAACATAGGAAAGATGGATATTCTAATTTCTAACATATTTGCAAGTACTGACCTGCAACAAACGCAAAGCACAATACTGACTGACAGCAGGACCTTCAAGTTTAGCAATTACCTGTAGAATTTGCAAAAAGAATAAACTGATCAAAATATCATGTAGCATGATGAATTTTTTAATTCTTTATAGATGGCACAATTTCTAATTAAGATTTTATGCAGAAAGAAAAGGGTTCTCACTCATCACCTTCATATTTTTGCAACCACACGTAATGAAACAAGGTCACTCTCAAACTCACCAATTCTTTGAAGATATTAGTACAATATAAATGCAAAGTTTACAAGGATCGAAGCTTTGAAGTTATATACACTACATATGCACTAAAATTATTTTAAAGCAGGTTTGTGCAAATATACCTAAAAAATTCCAACCAGTTCAATTGTTCAATTCTTAAGAGCAGGATACTTTTGTTAGAAAATGAAGAGTATGGACAAGAAGAACAAGAGCACCAATGTGACAGAGAAGCATGTAATACTTACAAGTATATAACAAGCTGCAGTGCGATACCATCTCCTCTGAAAGCAGTCCTCAAACAACCTAAAAGATGAAACAAATGATTTAACATTAGGACTTGTGAGGAGAAGACAAAAAATTACCAAATATGGTTGAAAGTTTTATGATTGCTTCAAGAAATGGCACATTATAAAATTAGAGCACAAAATATTGCAGGCCTAGGCTTGGTAGAACAAGGTCAAATCCATAACATTTTTCAAAGATTATAAAAAATGGTCAAGAGCACAACCAAGCTTTCATTTGATTCAGAACCTACTCTGTTGATCTTCCAGCAGCAGAGAACAAATGTGACCAGTGCCGGCCATCAGTTTTTCTTGCAACACTTACAACCACATCAACGTACTCCGGAAAATTTCTGATCAGATCACAGGTCTTCTCCAAAAGAGAGACATTAGTAGAATGTTTGGATACTGAGTTCTGATTCTTGTTTATATTTCGCCTGCAAGGAAAAAATGTAGTTTATACTTTTGTATAGGTAGTAGATGTACATATATAAATAAATAAATAAAGGGATTAGTGCTTATCCATCTCACCTCCTAAAGATTAAGAGGAAAATTATTTCAAAACTACGTAGTTTTAATACAGTACTACAGGGAATGACAAAAAACACTCTAATTCATGCTCTAAAAATAGGGTATTTTAGTATTTTTCAATGGGGATTTATTGAAATAACGTAATTTTGAGATGATTTTCCTCCTAATCTTTAGGAGATAAGGCGAATAGACACTATTCCCATAAATAAATAAATAAAATAAAATAATGAAAAAAAGAAAGAGAAAAAGAAGGGAAACTCTTACACCTCCAATCTAGAGACAAAAATACATAAATTAAGATCAAGGAATACAAATTACAAAGGAACATCCGCAAATATTATACATAAGTGGCATGCTAAATAAAAGCAGCAATATCCACTAAAATTAATGTATACTAGTCAAAGACTAAATCATCTAGTGCACTCTCATAGGATACAACTAACACAAAATTGTCACCTCAAACCTTTCAACTAGGTCTTTGTGTTCAAAGTCCTTAATGAATTAAAACTTGTTAGTTCCTGTTGCTTATCAGTCTGCATTAAAGCTAGCTTGGGCATTTTATTTTCCCAAACTAAATAATACCTTGAAATCTCAGCATCAAAAACAGTGAAAAGCAGCCACTCCATGCAATGTGAAAAGTGAGGCTTTTCTGCTGATAATTGGGCCAACTGTACAGCCTCCTCACTTTTGTCCCTCTGACGAACACAGAACCAGAAACATAATCACAAAGAGTCTCTAACAAAATACTATGGCAAAAGCATGGACAACTCATTGAGTTTCAGGGCTACAAAGAATAGAACCTATAGGTTTCAACAGTATTGACAGAAACAAAAAGTCCAAGAGCAACATTCTCCTTGCTACTTGTCAGAAATTTCATATTTTAATGAAACTATTGTTTCATGAAGCAGTATAAACTCTAATGATTTTTTAATCAAGTTTCAATTGAAGAAGATAAATCCATCTTTAGACATAAAATTATTTATCTTCAATTCACAAGAATGGGTCTCTCACACCAATCAAACCCACAGGCTTGACCAAAAATAATAGAAGACATTCCAGAGTTCAGTATGAAAATGATAAAGAACTACTAGACCTGCTTACTCAGCATATGGCATCTCACTCTCCACATTTACCTATGAATTTTAGAGTTATTATAATATTTACTGGGATCCCACTCTCCCTTTACTTTATGAAAGGAAAGAAAAAATAAAAATGAAAGAAAAGTGGTAAGAAAGAGCAAATGCTTGTGCACTTCTGGAGAAAAAAAGAGAAACAAGAACTGATACCTGAAGGAGGTGTCTAAGTAGGCAATGCAATATAGTTTGAGCTTGAGGAGTTGGCTCAAAACATGGAAACTCAGTGGATGCTGAAAATGACATTCTTTGAGAAACACCAACAACAACACCAGCATTTGGGAGAAGCCCCAAAGGATACACTTCACGATCAAATTCAAGCTCCGGATCCAACTAAAAAATAAATATTGAGTTATTCTAATAATTTCATGGTATATGGGCCCAAGAAAAAGATCAAATACCATAAGTGCTATGGGTAAAAATATGTAATAATTATCAAATAAAAGCAAGATAATATCATCATAAACAACGGCTATTTGAGCATAGCTATATCAAGCATAATATAGGAACCAACAAAACCCACAATATTATAAAAGTTGACTCATACCTGCAAGAAATCCTCCTGCTTAAATGGATCAACACCTGGAGATGGATACCAAACCTGTAAACATAAGCTTCCAACCAGAATCTATATCAGACTAGTAAAGAAATGGAGGAAAAAGAAGGAAAGAAACTAGAGTAGAAAACTACATGGTAAATGCTAATTTCACATGTAGACACACAGTAGGTTACCTGCATTCCTCGATGACCATAGTCCAACCAAGAGACATCATCAATTAGATTTGTTTTCTCCTCTGATTGACCACAAGTTACCCAAAATAACTCCACAGAATCAGTAAGCTCCCTCTCTCTTCCATCATCCAAATCAAGAAGCGAAAGCTCTCCATTTGTTCTCAATATCAAACATCTAGTAAAGCAAAGCAAGTAAAAGTCTGAGGCATGTGGTGCACAGAAGGTCATTTCACAAATGGATAGACAAATACCTTGCAGGCTCTCCAACTAGCAATTCTGGGGATGAAATGTGATTCTCTGGGGCGCCATCTCTTGGTATTTGATCAGGAATAAAACGCATTGCTGCAGGATGGCTCTTCGCTGTCATGATTGACAGTTCTCGTACTGTAGAAAGCTGTTTGTCATTTTATCACTTAAAAATGTATGAAGAATGAAGCTTCATGGAAATCATAATATGAGTGTGAACTAAAACTTCAAGTTACAAGCTATTTGGAAAACTATACTTATTTCCACGAAATTCTTAGAGCAATTTACAACATTCCTTTACCTGTAGATCTGGAGTACTAGAAGGTGTCAATTCACCAAATAATTTGACATGGAATATGTGGACATCAAAAGGGTGATAAGTGACCAGTATATAATCTTGATAGACATCCATCACTAATGGCTTCGCAAGCAATGGTTTCCGACAGAGTAGCGAGCTCTGGTCAAGATGATATCTTGGGTAGAAAAGCAACTCATACCTACAATCAATCACCTGCTTCTTTAGTTCTACTATAATGAGCAAAAGCCAATATGAAATTAAAAATAAAAATAAGGAAGACACTTGGGAATCAACTAGCTATCTGGAAGTGGCAAGGCTTGTCTATGCATTCATATCCATTCAAATCACAGATTACACAGCCAATTAAAACTTTGGTCAGACAAGCCAAGCTTCGCAAATGTACTCAATAGAAAAAGACTGGAACTCACGTGTTAGAAGAATCAATATAGTTGCAAACAACAACAATCTTCCCAAGCCATAACAAACCCTTGCACTGAATCTTTTGCTCCTGAGTAATATCTCCAAATACTCGCCACTTCTTCACCCGTATATCATATAAAATTAACCCATGAAGACCAGCAACTGCTAAGTACATCCCATCCTTGCTTGCTGCCACGTGTTGAACAGGCCAGTTTTGGGAGATATAGGAAACCTGAACAAAACTGAAACTGTCAGAAACAAATTATATGGAAAACAGAAATCAAACAATTATCAGCATGAAAAATCACACTTAACTGGAAGGTTTAGGTGTAGCATTTTAAGTTCATCAGTATCTTCAGACTGCACAACAAGCAACCTGTCCTCACCATAAATGACTTGACGGACATATGTTGTGCCTGATACTCCTCTACTTAGGCAACACTTACCAAAAGAAAATGCAAGAATTCTCTCCAAGCATCCTTCTTCACTAGCATAGAGCCTATACCCATATTCATCCCACTGCATTAGTGAGGTACCACCCATCAATGGTTCATATTTACAATCCTGGCTTGGCTTAACTACTGGAGAAGAAACAGAACCCAAACCAATTTGACGGATTGTCGACATCAAACGACATCCAGAAACCGACCAAACTGTAAGTCCCCTTAACTTCCACCCTACTGCAAAAGCAGCATTATCAGGTGTCCATGCAATACAATTTACAGAACCAGTGTCATCCATTGTGTATCTGCAAAATAACAGGACCAAGCCTTCATAATCTTACTGCTTCACAAAGAAAACATTAAGAACTTTGGATTGACATATCAAAGACATTAGATGAGGCATATATAATAAAGAAATTTAGAGAAGATTACAGTAATAAGCCCCCAATAACTAAAACTCAGACAAAGAAGTGCCACCAATGCTTACCCCCAGTCAGACAAAGAAACAGTACGAATAAGTGATGCTGATTCTGCTAGGTCATACAACTCAACAACTCCTCTACTGGTACCAACTGCAAGAATTTGCTGATCTGAAGCAATGGAAGTACATACAGCATCACCAGAACCCAAACTTTTCTCAGCCTTAATTGATTCAAGTTGCTTTAAACCTTTCTTGCTCACAGAGCATAAAACCAGATATCCATCAGAATATAGCACTACAAGTAACCTCATTGGAATGCAAAGCTCCAGCTGGATTATAGCAGACTTTCTGGAGTTTCTATGATTGGAGGCAAAATCTCCTGAAGGCTCCTCTCCAGAAGCAACACCATTACCCATAAAATTCGATGATGCAATGACTTCACTGCTATCACATGGAAAGGGATCAAGTTCAAAAGCCCCACAGAACTGCAAGAGGAAATGCAAAGGACCAAAAAAAAAAGGATTAATTTTACTCCTTCACGGTGTTGAAATTTGAAAGCCATTATAAACACTGATACTCAAATATTAGAGAATAGAACATGGTGTATCTATGCAAGACAAGACAAGAAACATATTGATTGTTGTGTTAGGGTTACCTCTCCTTTCCAAGAGATACTGTATAAAGACCCATTGGACAGACCAAGTAGCATGTGTTTGCTATCGCAGATGATATTGCTCCTGAAACAAAGATATTAAAAGAAAATTATAGAGATGATAATAGTAGTGCACCTGAAACAAACATAAATGACACTATGACAGTAAAACGAAAGAATCAATACTATTACATCACCAACATGTAATTCAGTCTTTTGTTATTTATTTTTACATTTAACAAGAATGGTGTCAAAATAAATTTCATTGCAAGTATTATGAAATTATTAAAAAAAAGAAAAAAAAAAAAGATATAAAGATGATGATTTCTTATACTACCCCATGGAGCATCACAAATTGAATATTTAACCAACCAAGACTCTATTTTAACAGAGAATTTTCTTTAAATTCCTCCTGGTCCTTTTCCATTCCAATAAAAGAAGCTACCAGTTTACATCAAAATCAAGTATTTAGTTCCTGAAAATTATGCTTTCAGGAGACCACTTAATTTTCCAGATCAGCAACTGATATTCATTTTTAGACAACTTGATTGAGTAGCATAAACTTCTGAAAGACGGTTTCATTGCAGTCAGGTTGAAAACTCAAATCTAGTAAAGATTATTGACATTGCAGTTATTGAGGTTAGAGGAAGCAAGAGGCAGAAGTTCAATAAGGGGACTTACAATGTCAAATCCTTTTCAGCAAAAGGGACTTGCTCATTCAGAACACGAGTTATAGTTGCAAGAAACAGACCAGAGGGTTGCTTCCCTCCTACCTGTATTTTTTTCTCTATGAACTGGATCTTGAAAATGTGAAGAAAGAAAGATGATGTCTGTAAACAACAAAAAGTAAATAAAATCAAATAAGTAATCCATAAACAAGAAATCAACACAGTTAGAAAATTCCACATAGCCAAACTGGGGGAGATTAAAATCAAAATTATGGCAGTACTTTTCATGCCTTCACCATGAAGTTTTCAAATTAACATTGCATCACTTCAGAAGTCAAATATCACATTGAACAGACAAAATCGAAGTTTACTAGTTAAAAAGATTAGGACGGCCAAACTTTCAGTCTCCTAGCAGTCATTAACTCCACCTCCAACTATATCAAAACCCATAATGGTAAATAAAACCTTATACATCATTCCTAAAATGGCTTGTTATGACTTTTCAATCTGTAGTTGGTAAGCTAGATGGCTAAAGTGCATAAATGCACCACACAAATTCACACACTACGAATCTCCAGTAATAATGCTGCATCACTTTAGCCTCTGCTCTACATTAGCTTAAAAATGTCGCTCCAACATCACCTAATTCCCTAATTAAACGTTTGCATTACACACAAATATAAACATTACCTTAACCAAATTTAAGCTGTCCTTCTACCTCTACATATAACAATAAGAAATACCGTACATAAGAAATGGAACCGGAAACAACTCACAAGAACGGCGATCAATTTGGCATCAGGACTCCACGCGGCTTGCAAATTCTCACCCTCTCTTTTCACCGAATCAGCATCCCTCTTGTACTTGCCCAACCTCACTCTATGCTGCATAGCAACACATTCGAGAAAAACTCAGAATCCTAACCTCAATTCATCACACATCAATTCACAAACATCAAAGTACAGGTACCTGCGATGAGCTCCAGAGCTCGATATGAGACGGCAAGACGACGAGCAAGAGGCGGTTGATGACTTTCAGGTAAACGATCCGCTGCGAGGAAGGACAGGATCCCTGTTCCAGGGGGATCACCTGCGGCCATCCGTATGCCATATACATCTTTTCACCGTCGATTCCTTGGTCTGAGTTCCAGATCTAGCTTAATAGACATAGGAACTGGATTCAGAATGGAATGAGATCTGAGAGTAGAGCATTCTGATGCAATTGGAGAGCCGAATCGAATATTTCAAGCAGCAACAGATCTCACAGATCCATGGAAGTGTGCCATTTTCGCGTGGCCCGTGTTTTTGCTGCCTACAATTTCCTTTTCGCCGATAAAGAATGAAAGAGAGAAATAGAGAAATATGAAAAATGGCGTTGCACCATTAAAAAAATATAATAATAATAATAATAATAATACAAAAAATGTTTACAATCCATCTGCTTTAAATTATAAAAAAATAAAAATAATGAATTCATGACCATAATTGGATTTTTTTATTTTATAATTTGCACTCTACAAATGGTAAAACAAAAAATAAACAATAATTAAAATTATATAATGTAAAATGGTTTAAATTTTACCATTCTTTTCAAATAATAATTTTAGAAATTAATGCATATCAGTGACTCTTAAAAAATTTAAAATTTTAATATATATTTAAAAATTAAAATTTTAATTCAAAATTTAAAATTTTAATCAATTTTTAAATCTAAATATTAATATTTAATAAGATAAAATTTTAAATTTTAAATTAAATTTTAGTTAAATAAAATGAAATAATTTAATATTAAACTTTAATTTTTTAAGAGTCAAAATTAGTATATATTTTTCTCATAATTTTATCACCTTTTATTTTTGGTTTAATTTTAATTTTTAATTTTTAAGAACACAAAATAATTGAACATTCTATATTTTCTAACGGGCTGAAGAAGACTTCTGCCCAAAAAACGGGCTGAACATTAAAAAGACGAGCACTCAAAATTTCTACTTTTCTGGTTGGCTAGATGCGCTGAGGATGGACCATTAACCTAAAGCCCAAAACTTAATGGCAAATGGGCCTTTACAGTTTTTTTTTTTTTTTTTGACATTGATATGAATTGTTTTATTAAAAATATAAAGTGCAATCTATGGAGTAAATGTGCAAAAAAAGATGTGAACTTAACAATTTTTTTTATTTAAAAATATCAATTTTTAATTTTTTCTATTTAAAAATACTAACTTGAAACTTTTTTTATTTTATGATTAATTGGATAATGATACTAATGTGACAAATAAATTTTTTAACTGAAATATTGAAAGTTAGCATGCTTAAACAGAAAAAATTAAAAATTAGCATTTTTAAATCAAAAATGTTAAAAGTTTATATTTTTATTTAAAAATTAACAAAGTTAACATACTTAAATAAAAAAAAAATTTAAGTTCACATTCTTTTTTGCACATTTACTCCAATATACCCTATACATTCTCTTTCAAACTTCTCAAAG